ATTCGACAGGACAGAGCATGCCGGAAAAGGACAAGTGAGGGGATATCGATCGCTAGCACAAACTACCCAAGATGCTTGTTCGAGTTCACTGTTGTTTTATGAGGTCCAGGCGCCTGGCTGGTTTACCATAATAGCATATAGCTACAATATTAGAAGATTGTGGTATGTAAGACCACGATTTCAAAAACTTGAAGTCCAAGGATCCAATATTAAATTCCCCCTAGGCGGTAATTGCCTCTATGTCGTAGAAATCTGCGTTGTGCAGATGCATAGACCCGTTCCCAATTAGTGATGAGATTGTCAGTGCTTTCCTATTACTAGGTCCCTTCCGGGTTAGGCAGGTAATATGGGTCCTCTGACTTCCAATAGGTACATCAAACAAACCAGTTGGATCTCGCCAGTATCACCTATAGGCTTTAACGTTGTAAGTTGTGGTTTAGTCACCTGTCCCACAATCAATATCAATAGATGGGTAATCAACTCCCATAGGGTCAGTATACACCGATTTGGTATTGCCATAACTCTGTGAGGTCCATGCCTAGAAGTAGCCCTTTCTTGTCCTCCGGAAATGGAGCTTCATAAATTTGACCCCCCAAGGACCTGGCTTTCTCCCACACGTATGCCGCCTCTGGACAGGCAATGAGGCAGTGAGTCACTGTCTCCAGGACTTCCTCCCTGCACTGTGCGCATGCTTGGTTGGCGGGGTCTCTAAGATGCTGGGTGTGACGTTCGTAGAGCCATGTGTTGACCGGTAGCGCGAGGTGGAAGATCAACCATAGCATGCTCCTAATTCTCCCCAATCATATGGTTTGTAGTGCTGACCATGGCAGATGGGCCACTTGCACTCTGGGTACTTCCATTCTCTTTCCCATCTCTTGGCCAACGACTCCACAAGTGGGTAGCATCTTCTTCTTAGCCTATATCCCATCTTTGTTGTGTAATGTATTATGCCTATCCTCCTATCCACCCCCCACATCCTCTCCAAGCATGCCCCACATGCAGCATTTGGCATACACCTGCGGCAACTGCAGTCAGATCTCCTTCATCCTTGCCAGGCAAACAACAGACGCAGCAGCCTGAGGTGCAAAATAGACTATCACATGAACCACCTACAGTACGCTGCACTGAAAGGCTATCACCCCCAGGGCAAGCTGTTGCAGACCAATCTTGCAACAGCTAGATACCCTTACTTTGGAGCAGCCCTCCGCATCGCCTTCTCATAGAGAGGGAATAATGACTGCGGATACCCAAGAAACATGCTCAATGCCGCTCTGTGATGGCCAACCTGAGATTCAGCTAGCATACGATTCGCATGCTTCGTGTCGTGAGGATTATTAAGGCATAGCCAATGCAAGTTTTGTTTTCATATGTTTGATGACAGTCAACATTCCACTCATGTACGGCACCCTGACATGTCATGTCCAACTTGTAGACAGGGGCTGGGCATTGCCTATAGAATTGCACTCGGCATGCCTCTGTGTTCCTAGCATGTACGAGCCACGCAGGCTGTGACATCTGTCTATGCCGTGCCACTCTATGCAGCAACTGCAACTGTGAGAATTGGATGTGGTGCTTACACACTGGACACCCAAACCGTTCCTGTCCTGTCTGTAGGGGTGGTCACTTACGCTGGGCAATGGCAGCTCCTCAACTCAAAATCTCCTGCAATCCAAACACTGACTGACCTCTTGTGTCATTCTAGAGTAGTCTGCTCTAGCGGTGTTGCATGCTGAGCCCTGCACACGGGCTCCGTTTCGGGGGCCCGACGGTTGTTAAGGGGCCCCAGGCCGCGCACCTATTTTCGTGCACAATCTGGAGGCCCACGGCCATCTTGGTGGGCCACGCACATTGCTGTGCCATCCAGGTTCCCTTTTTAAGTCAGCATTTATTTCTTTATTTTTGTGCTGACTCAGTCTGTTATTTTTGAAACGGTTTTCACCTGTTAGCAGTAGCGAATGCAGATCCCAGGGCTCGATCCCTAGTTCTCACATTACCTGTGTACAGTATCTGTGTCGACCCCGAGTGTTTGAACCCGTGACCTGTGTTTTGACAGTTGTTGTTGTCTATCGTAGGTCTGTGTAGTGGTAGGGGTTCGATCTGTAGATCTGTCAAGTAGGAGTCACAGCCCTGTAGAGGTCGTAGCTGTAGGAATCCTGAAAGGTCAAGGTCGTAGCTGCTACAGTACTCGAAAGGCCAAGTCCACAGACTTCCGGAAGGTCCAGAAGTGGCCTTTCGAAGCTGCCTCACGTTTCAGTCAGAGGCAAGTGGGCAAGTGGTGAGCCCAGCTGCGTTACGTCGGCAGTGCGACTGCATTGAGTTGGCAGTGCAAACCCCTGCAGTCAGCGGTACCGGTCCAGTCAGTCCCAGTCCAGTCAAGCAAGTACCATGCCGGACTATGTGCACCATGGGCCGATGGAAAGGGGCAGACCAACGAGTTACAGAAGTATAAATCAAGAGGCAGCGCCCAGCCATTCACTCATTCCTGCGTAAGCCATGCGGAAGCGCTGCCATAGCGACTTGTGCGAGGTGGTCTGCAGTGAGCCCGAGGACGAAGAGGGCGAGAAGGAGCTTAGCCATAGCATAGTGGTAGATGCGGCCATAGCCGCCATAGCTGTAGATTAGTGCAGCGTGTGTGTGTGCGGGTATGCTGAGTGATGCGTGTGGGGTATCCAGGGTGGTCCAGAGTTGTGTGTGTGTGAACGGGAGTTGAGCGCAGTGACGAACAGAGATTTGTATAGGTGCTGATGCGCCATAGCCATCTGAAGTGAGATTGTATCTGAACTGTGTTCATGGTTACCATATCTCTGAGTTTTGAGTGGGCGCTTGTCGCCAGTTTGCTGCGCAACCTGTTTGCATGCATGTGATGTGTGAATGAAAGCGAGTCTGATTGCATTTTTGTCTGTTCCAGAGCCTCGTCTCGGACTTTGCAGTATGTCCGAACAGACTATTGTCTGTTTGGACCGGGACCACGTCTTGGGGCCTCTGGGAGGTCAGGTTCATGACTGAGCCGTCTTTAGGCCAGGTTCGGAGTCGTCTGGTAGTGGACTTCTCCTGCTGCGTCAGCAGGAGAGCCTGGACGTCCGGTAGGGACCCAGGCAGGCTGTTTTCAGGCCTAGGCCCAGGGGCAGGACTTGGGCCTGCAATCTGGGCCATCGATCGGACTTCAGATCCGACGGCCCAGATTGCAGACCATGGGCATTGCAAACAGGCCCAGCGCTATATCTAGCTGGGCCAGTTCCCACTGCCTTGGGCGACATGCTGTTGGAGCAGCGCGCAATTTCCAGCACTGCACTGTTGTAGAGGTAGAGGTAGGGGCTCAGGAGTTACGAGAGGTGGGGGAGAGGCGGTGGCCATACCTGCGAGGTGCGGACAGGCCCTGGGCGCCATAATTGGTTCCTTCGCCAGCGACTTGCAGCACAGAGAGGCACGCCAGCTCGTCAGTTCGTGCAGCAGTTACCTGCAGGTGAGACAGTGGAGAGGTCGACATCTTCTTCTTCTTCCTGCTCTCGCCCTCCATATCTTCCCCCCTTCTTCCCCTTTTTCCCCTCCCTCTTATTCTTCTTCCTTCAGAGAGAGAGAGAGAGAGAGAGAGGTTACAGGCAGAGGTTATGTCGGGCTATGGGCCCCAGGATCTAATTCGACATCACAGGGGCAGACATTGATTGGACATTCAACAGGGAGAGTATTTTCGGACTGCGCTATCACGATTCTGGTCTTTCCCCTCATCTCCATCTTTCGTCTTGTTATTACTCCATCCCCTCATCCGTGGTTTCTCCCCATCTGCATGCTCACGGAGGGACCTTTCTTCTATGTATGTGGTCCCTACCCCTTCTCTCTCACATGGTGGTGTGTGATGGGCTGAGTTGAGCGTCAGTGTCCGACATGTCAGGTCATATCATCGAGTCTTCCACTGCGCTACATTGTGCTATTTTGTGTGTATATGGATGTACATTGCTTGTGTGATGCTTCGCTGATGCTGCATTGTCCATTCGAGTCCTTATCATCACTTTGCTGATCCTTTGGCTCCATTTGCATCACTCGGATTATTCCGAGTATGCATCAAGCGGTGTGTATTGAGAACCCTGTGAGGTTCACCGCTCCTCTGCTCTGTTCTTTGCCCCTCCACTTCTCTCCTCTACCCCTTCTCCCTCCCGTGCCCCTCGCTTCCTATGGAGATCCTCCCCCTACCCATTTCCTTCCTCCCTCCTCTTGTGTACTACTAGTAAATGCTTACGAATGAGCATCATTAAGAGAATAGACAAAATATAAGCTGAAGATCTGAAGAAAAATGAACAGGAGTTTTCCTCCCCTTTTACTCTACCTCCTTTTATAACGTGCAAGTGTGCCGTTATGGCACATGGGGATGTGGGCAGCTGGCCCTAAACCACAACCAACATGGCCAGCCAGCCTTGCACGTGAGAGGCACAGAAAAAGGGAGCTGCAAGAACAAATAAAAGGGGTACCCCAAAGAAAGCCAAAGTAAAGATAGTCAAGAAAGGGATATCATCATATCACGGATCTATTCCGCTCCATGTTGCTTGCTATAGAGGTAAAACTGTTTCATTGTTGGACTGGCTCATCTCATGTGTGCTTTCTTGTCTGCAATAGAGGTAGAGCTGCATCGATATTGCATCTACTCATGTGGGTAGAAAGGGGCTGTGGTGGGGACAATCCACAACACACACACACACACACACACACACACACACACACACACACACACCACATGCCACGGATTTGTCCTGCTGCCTGTCCCTGGTCAGAGGTGCTTTTTCATCAGCTCTCTCGAGTTCTGAGTCTTCTGCCAGATATTTAGAGCGTATTAGAGAGTAATAGAGACTTCTTTCGTGAATTTTCATATTTATTTAGTTATTTATTTGTGTAAAAGAATAGGCTTGTTCATACCAACCAGGCAAAAGTTTCATCTTTGGAAAAATATTTAGAATTTCTAAATGTAACATTATGAATTATGCGTTGTATATGGCTGTGATGTGGGGCAGGTTGGAACCGATACAGAGCTCGAAAACATCAAGTCAGAACACAAGTCACTCAAAGAGCGTAACAGTGTTGAGCGACGCAAAATAGACAACCTCTTCACTGAAAGGGCATTGTAAGTCCTCTATAGTGTTTTTCAAGAACAGCAAGAACAACAACGAGAAGATGACGAAGCAGGCGGACGGGAGGAGGAGGAGGAGGAGAAGCAGAAGCAGAAACAGTAGCAGAAGAAGAAGAGGAAGAAAAACTGAAGAAGAAGAGGAAGAAGAACTGAAGAAGAAGAGAAAGAAGAAAAGAAGAAGGAAGAAGAAGAAGAAGAAGAAGATTTTTTCAATTTTTTCAATTGATTGGTGTCATCTGCATCACCCTGACAGAATGTGCTTCTTGTGAGAGTGACGAGGGATGTTGATGTATATCTTCAGCTATTTCATTGCATGCTGTCATCTACGTCTTGGCTGAAGTGTGCTCATTTAAAGTTCAAATGTGATTAAGAAAGAAACAAAGGAAGAAGAAGAAGGCTAAAGGGAAAAGAAAGACAGAAGGGAAGGCTGACACTTAATATACCTACCCTCTGAGGGGCAATCAATGCTGTCAATCGATTTTTCTTTTTTGTTTTCCTTTTTTTTTTTATCAGTGCGTATTACGTGTAAATGACAGGTCGGTCGAAGCCACAACGGACATTATTGACTTTATTCCAGCTCCTCCATAACAAGTTTAAACAACCCATTCTCCACATGTGTACTTTCATTGTTTCCCCGTCTTTTGTCTCTCCATCACCCTCTTCTCGTAGAAGCATGGTTATTGGAACCAAGTTCAAATCTATGGTATATTTGAATCATCTCATCACCCTGCATGGGCAGCTCTTTTCTTTTTTGTTCTTCGTTTTTTTTTTAATAACAAGATGATCCGATCTATTCATGGGGAGCAAGTCCGAGCAACACATGCTGGCTGGCAACCGCCCAGTGTCCCATAAGGGATATGGCGAGGTCTCCAACTGGCTTGAGAATTTTCCATATTTAGTTAAGGCACTGTACTGTGCTTGTAGGCTTGCAGAGTGGTGCTGTTTACGGAGAAACGGTGACGGAAGGAAAAAACACGCCGCCTTCTTGCAGCCATATATAGGAATCCCTTGCTTCCCTACGAGCGATCTCCTGAACAGTCTGGATGTCATCCCTGCAATTGACCTCCTTATGGTCAGTGTCTCGGGCGGAGGCAGTGGAAGTTTCATAGTATTGACTCTGTGGTAGTTCAATACGAGAGAGGAGTCGACAATGGGCAACAATTGTCGAAGCTCGGGGTGGGCAGCCTCGCGCCTTGTGAAGCCTGCAGTACCCTTGTGGGCCTCGTTGGAATCAGAGGGGTCCCAGACGAGAGTTTGGGGCAGGGGATCAGAGCTATGGGACAAAACCAAAACTGGAACTGGAACTTCCCCTGTCTGCTTGAGGGTTTTGGTTGCACAAATCCAGGGGTTATGAAAAGGAAGGGGTAGAAAAGTCATTGTTCTCCAAGGAAAGTGAGTGAGAAACCTGCTGCAACATGGGAAAATCTTTGAGAAGGAGAACAATGGCAGTGAAGCTCAAAACGATTCAAAAAGGAAGGCTTAGCCAAACGAGGAAGACAACTTACAGAAAAAAAAAAAAAGACCCACGACGTATCCGTCTTGTGGTGTGGCTCACAACCATCGAGGTGCAGGTTTTCCAGGAAGCGCTGGCACCAAGCAACCATTCCGTGGAGAGCTTGCCGTGCCCTGATAGATCAGCCTCAGCCGAGGGTACGAACAGGGATAATCCTTCTTGCACCGGGCAGTTAAAAACTGGGGGTTCCACATAAGGGAGGATGATTTGTTGGGGGAAACCCACGACCCCCAAAATGACAAGCATTACGCGGATTGTACAAGTGAAATCACACAGCCACTGCAGTGCGTTCCTTACATCCGCGTCACAGTCGACGCCATCTTAGTCTGAAGGCTGCCGGTTCCACCCCCACTCACCACCCACCCACCCACGCCTCACCCACGCACACACACCCCACCCAGCCAC